TGTTTATTATTTATTGTATTTGTTACTATATTTAATTATTATTTACGGAACTAACATCTTCTCTATTTTTCCAAATAACTATTAGTAAACAAGTAGTTTCTGAGTGGGAGTTCCCAGACACCAACCACTTCTGACCATTATGACATCCTATGTCAACAATAAACAGGAGTTGATTTTCTTTGTTTGTTTGTTTTTTTCCCAGAAAAACTCAGCCTGTTATGGCTCAGGAGGTATCCCGAATGCAAAACAGGCCACTATTGCCCAGTCTTAGAAGACAATACCACTGACTGACCCTTATAAAGCAAATTTCCCAGCTGCTTCTCCCCATTGACTTGTGCAATGAACGACACACGGAGGTACAAATTCTGCACCCACAAAAGCCACACTTTCTCCTCCGATGTTTGATGCCCAGATTTGTGAAAGTCTTTAAAACAGTGAGCTCAAGTTCAATTCATGGGATACAAAAAAAAAAAAAGAAAGAAAAAAATTCACTTGAAAGCTGTTATTTTAAATGACCCAGAAACACTCTACCTGCAGTATTGCCAGTCTTTTGCTTTTTCCTACACAGCTCATCTTCTTCCGAAATGCTGAGGGCTGGTTTCCGCTTTTTGACACCTAAGAAGCAAGCGAGAGGTGATGTTACTTCTTTTGTACCACTTGAGCTACAACAACAAGCGAGGTACACCAAAAATAAGCGACCCCGACGTATCTTCAAACGGACTTACTGACTGCGCTCCTTTTCTGCTCGTTTTTGTTCTGATCGTAATGGATCCAGTCACCTGGCAAACATTTTTGAAAAGAAACAAAAGGTGAGGTAGGAATTCCCATTGCTATACCCTACACCCAACAGTTCTTGGGCACAAAACCAAGCTGCTGGGTGGATTCCAGCTGCTGAGCTAAGATTTTATAAAATGAGGTGATTTTTCCCCTTTCATCTAAGGTGCTGCAGCACACCATTTATAATATGCAACAGAGATTTCCTGTTATTATTCCCAGTAAGTCAAACCAAAGCGGAACATCACGAGGGATTCTGCAGGTTACTGCAACACCCACCACACGACCTCCCGGAGCTCTTCTCTTTGGGTTTTACCACTTCCAGCTCCAAAACTCATTATTTTAACAGCATGAGTTCAGGTGCATCTAGGGGCTGAATTATACCCCAGCTCCTGCATCTTTTCAGGATGATGCCCATGTGAAACTCATGAACGATGATTTATTTTCAGTAGAAAACATATGGATGGTCCAGATGCCCAAAGAAAACGACTCCCAGCAGGCTGGCAACACAGATTAATTCAAGAATGGGTGGGTCTAAATTTGAGTAGAACAAAATTTGCAATAGTTCAAAATAAGGATGCAATGTAAGAAAGGCAGTGAAATGCAAAAGAACTAGAAACAAATTGTTTTGTTTTCTACCTTTTAAGTGTGAGGAACGGAGTATGTGCCTGCTCTACATTATAGAAGTATAAAAATATTTATAATATATTTGTAGTAGCAATATTAATTTTTTTCTGGTTAATTCAGAAAGGAAAGTTAGCATTTCCCTAACTGTTGGTAAATGATATTTAATTGTTGGTTTAATGCTATTCGCATTCAGCGTGTTCTGTTTCGTTTCTTATTGTGGAAGTCTACAGTGACTAACACCAAAAAGTTTAATCTGATGTCTCATCAGATTTAAACTCGCCATGGGAAGAGCAAAGACTCACTCTCTCGTAGTTTTGCTTTCCATACGGTTGCATCGGACTCCAGCTCAACCAAAGACAAGGTGAAGTCGTCGGGTTTTTCCAAATAAACTTCAATGTAACTTTTTAGTTTCAAGAGAGATCCATCAACAAATTCAATTTCCTATACAATGTAAATATGTTAAAAATAAATATTTATCCAAATAAACTAAAGAGGCAGTGTTTGGCTGTTGGCACTGAGCTGAGCCCAACTCCCAAGAGTTTTACTGTTGACTTTAGCGTCTGATTTCATCCCAAAATTTTAGGGCTCTAAGAGGCAAATGCTTTCTGCAGCAATGGCAAACAAATGTGAAAAATGCACTTAACACCAGTGCAGGAACATAAAGGAAAAGCCATTTTGTGCCACGTTTCTGATGGAGCTGCACTGCAGGAGGTGAGGGGTGTGTAAGGGACCTACCTCAGGAGTTACTTCAGCTTCTGGCTCACAAACTAATCGATACCTCTTTCCGTTCTGAAGTAATTTTTGGCATACAGGGGGCTTGTCAATTTTAATGAATTTCTTATTTGAATGTTTTACGGCTCTTGAGATATCCTAAAATTTAAAAATACAATTTAAAGGTTACTCATCTCAGGAAAGGAATTAACGTTTAAAACTTGTGCTAACGTGGCTCCTTGGGCTTTTCTCTGTCCCCAGCTCTATGTCATGGCTGTGACCTGTTCCACAGGGCAAACCTTACAGAAGCCCGTGTACAAACACCATCCTCAAAAAACATCAAATAAACTTCTTCAGCTATAGTGCTACACAGGTAAAATTAGATAGAAGAGGTCTGCAACTTGAATAAAAGGAAGGTTACTTATTGGTGTCCTCTCCTAGTGTTTCCCTAAACAGGGAAAATGGGTGAGAGGACAAGACACCCTTTCAGGTATAAAAACTGACCTCCATGGATTTTTGGTAGCAAACAGGTTTTCGGTATATTTTTTATCTATAGCAGCTTGTGAGTGAGCAGCTGCTGAAGTATCATATCCTAACATGGCAGACCTTTTTGGTATGGAAGCCTCATTTATATATATACATATATACACACACATAATTTTATATCTATCTATCTATCTATCTATCTATTATTGATGCATACAAACACTGGGGCGAGAGAAGAGCACCTCTTCACCATCCTCCATGTGTCCCAGGTTGCCCAGAGAAGCTGTGGATACCCCATCCCTGGAGGGGTTCAAGGCCAGGCTGGATGAGGCTTTGAGCAACCTGGGCTAGTGGGAGGTGTCCCTGCCCGTGGCGGGTGGTTGGAACTCAATGAGCTTTAAGGTCCCCTCCAACCCAAACCATTCTGTGATTCTATGCAGCACCCCCATAACCAGCCCCACAGGCAATTCTACGTCACACCACCACACACCCCAGAGGCGAGACATACCTTTATAAAGGAGTCATTGTTTGTAGCCACGTAGACCCGAAAGGATAAGGAGGGATGCTCATCGACAACTTTGTAGAGGATGACAGCACCGTGGTACTGCACTGGCTCCTGGCTCTGGATGAGCGGTCCCACTGGCGAGAGCGAGCTCACCAGCCACTTCACGTGTGACGCTGAGTACTCGGCGGAGGGTTCAATGGCTGCACCCTCGCCTTTGATGTGCAAAACCCTGAAGGCCATGCCAGCACCATGATCTGCAGGGACACATGGATGGCTCAGCACCTCCGGTGCCAGGGAACCATCAGCATCCCACACCCACTGGCCGGCACTCACCGCCGAGGCAGAGGGAGTGGGGAAACTGGATGGAGGTGAGAGCGGAGGTCGCGTCACAGCGCACATCGAAGAGGGGGCCGCCCACGATCCATGGCTTTTCCACCAGGTTGGCGTATTTGCTCCAGGATAAGAGAGAATATGTGATTTTGACGGCTCCTGTGACTTCAAAAATCAAGCCCGTGAGGCTGCACTGGTAACTGCCCTCCACGTCCAGCCGTACCCTGCACGGGCAAGAGCGACCCAGTTAGTTTAGTTTCCACCACCTGGCAAACACCATAAAAATGTGGTTTGCAAGGGATAACGGAGAAACTCCCTCCCCAACAAGCACAGAGAACTTTATCTGAATAACACAGAAGCCACAACCATTTTTTTTCTCCAGTCTCTATGCTTAAACCGTCACTGGAGTGTTAAAAACTGGCTGGGAAGACACAACAAGCAGATGCAAAATAGCTGTAATGAACATTTTGCATAACGTTCCCTGCAAACAAAGCAGCTGCTCTTATATGAAGGGCTCAGTCCAGCTCCCATCAATGTCAGAGCTGACACTGTACACAGACGACACCAACATCACACGCTGACAACAACTTCCAAGCCAGAGAGAGGGAGAACAAGGATGGCATGCATAAAAAAATGCAAGGCAAATGAGGAAGATGAGTATTCCTGTGAAGCTGTGCAACACTCCTCATGTGTGTCTAGTCTAAAACAAGCATGTAAAAATGTGCCTCATGTTAATGACTGCGGCAAGACAAGGCAGGCAGGAAGCCATCCTAAGAGCTTTCCTGGACCAGGATCTGGAGGCAGCAAGGGCAGCTGCTCTGAAGTGTTTATTTTTAAGGATTTAGGGACATCTTCCAGTATAACTCCAAATGTGTTTGTGCAGCAAATTAGTCTTTTTCCCACCTAAACCAAAAAGGGAAGCCTCTTGACGAGAACAATGTAAGTATATACCCATTATATTAAAAAAATCCATACACATATTGTCCTCCAGCAAGCCTCCTAGGGGTCACTTGCTCCTTGTGGTCCTATAAAGAGATTTTAAAAAAAATTTTAAAAATTTAAAATTTAAAAAAGGTGATGAGAGAGCAGAATTACAATTTGCAAATTATCTCATGCAAAATACGTGGGTTGGGTTTTTTTATAAACGTACATTTTCGTTTCTGCAATGCTCACAGGGTGGCAGACAGTTCACTCCTAGTGAGGAAACAGGAAGATCAACTCATTAAAAGCAAAGTAAATAAACATGCAGGAAAAAAAAACAAAACACAGCCCTCAAGAGATCCATTACTACCTGAGTCATTGCAGCACAGCAGTGATTCCTTCTCCTCCTGCTCCTCATCTACAAAAAAAAAAAAGTTTGCAGAGAACACCTCAGCCTCCAGCGGGTTTCTGCTCCCACATTCAGCAAGGACAACCCACCGATTTAATTTGCTTACATTCATCAAAACCTATGGAGAATATTCCTAAAACAAAGTTCTTGCACGTGAACTTGCATGCCCACACGCGCAGGCTTTGCACAGCGTGGGGATGAAGCTGAACGTCAGGATACAACTTTTGTCAAAAGCTCCTCACTTACCCAAACTACTGGAAATTTTCACAGGGGTCAAAAAAAGATTCAGATCCCCAGGACGAGTCTTGTCGTGCCAAGTACAAAGTCCAACCACCTGGCACTGAAGCTGGCAATGGTGAGCAGGTAACCCCACTATTTGCAGTGGATTTGTCCCTAAAATTATTTAAAAGCACCTGAATCCTCCTTACTAATCCCCAACCCAGCAGAAAGCAAGCAGAGCTGACACACAGGGCCAAAGCTTTTAGCCCAAAGGCTGGATTTTGCAGAAACCAAGTGGCAGAGCTGTTCTGACACAGCACGGGGACACGGACACTGTGCCACTCCCTCCCATACCCCAATCCACCAGCACCCCTCGTGCGGGCTGTCCCCAAGTCACCCTGAGCCACCAAAACCCTCCTGGGGCGAGGAGATGTGGGAGAGGCAGAGAATGTCTTGCTACAGTGAACAGCCTGGAAAACATCAGACAAACACCCGCTGGTGTGTTGGCTCCCATCCTGTGGTGATGCTATTTTGGTCCCTGAGCTGCAGCTGGGGCACTGGCGGGTGCCTCAGCTCCGTCCAGCATGTCCCCATGCCTGGTTCCATTTGCAAACAGAGGCACAAGAATGCACCGTGCATGCACCCCACTGCCCCCCCATTCCTGGGGACACTCTCCAGCAAAACATTTTACCAAAAGACGCAGAGGTGATGGCACTGCTGGCCCTTAATCACGCCCTTAATCGGTCTCTTGCCATCACGTATCGTTACCCCCGCCCATCCCTGATCCGCGCTGGCTTCTTCACGCCTTGCAAGGCAGATACAAGGAACAAACAAGCCCACTCACCCGACCTTCTTCCATCCGACTCCTCTGCATCTGATGAGAAATAAAAGCTTTGTAATTATTTCACTAAAGACTATCAATCTCACACAAAACCAGAATAAACTACTGGTGGTGTAAGCCGTGTAAGCGCAAATCCGCAGGCTTTTCATCAACAGCAAACACTTCCTTTAATTCTTTTCCTGTCCATCCTGTTTTGCCACTTTTGCTGCCAACTTTTCAGCAGATTTATAGCCTCTTGGTGTTTGGACAACTACTATGGTGTAAAATACCTGCGGGTATTGTGTCTATGAGGCTAAAGCAACATTAACCGCCGCTCCTCTATTATTGCTCTGCTCAAAACTGAGCAGCTAGGAAATCGTTTGCACACAGAAGCATCATTCAGCTTTTCAGCATGCAGTCACTGAATTAAGTCTTAGACACTAACCCTGAGGCTATACCCACAAAAAGCAGCTGGTTGAAATCACATGTACATTTTGAAAAGGGAGAAAATACATAAATGGCAGCACGATGCTCACCTGACCCCTCTTCCGAGCTGCTGCTGGAGCTCTTTTCAGAACCATCCTCTCCTTAACAAAATGACACTGTGTTAGGCACAGGCAGGATGAAACAAAGCAATGCCACAGAGAAATAAAATAATCCATCCAGAAGTTTAAATATATCAAGTTGGTCAGCACATTAGATAATACAACAAAGTAGAAGAAAACTTGGGCAGAGAGGAGCATCAGAGCATCAAATCCCAGCATCAGGGGAACCGTAGGGGTCAGCCAGGCCCTTCTAAAGGGTACGTGTGATGCTCAAGATGCTTCATTTTAATGTTTCATACAACCTGAGACTATTTTGGTGCTTCACCCACAGCACATCCTAGTTCACCCAGTCGAATTATGGTTTTCTGTGGTATGCACATGAGGTGGGAGAAGCACTGGTGGGAGCCGCTGTGTCCCACCAGCAACATGACTCATGAGGATGCACCATACGCGTGTGGCTTTAATAAATTATTCTGTCAAACATCAGTTGAAGAGAAACCAGTATGGCAAAGCAAGTGACTTGAGGAGTCGCTGCACCGTGGTTTTATCCCATTGAGGGGAAATGAGGGGTGCGAGCCAGGCCAGCCCGCAGCGGGGAAAGCCCCCAGCCAGGCGTGCACTCACCCGCTGGGTGCTCCTCGGCCGAGCTCTCTCCTTCCGCACCACCGGCTGCCACCTCTGCAAGAGAAAAGCAGGCAGGGGGATATAAGCTTGAAAGAGATTTAATTCTTCTCTTTGCATTTTTGTACTCTGCAGGTCAGAGGAAGGGAATAAATAGCAAAGGAATATAAAGTTTAAAAATCAGTATAAAAAAATCAAAATTCTTATCCCTTTAAAGTAAGGCATGACACCACATCTTTTAAAGCCAGTAGTTCTACAATTGTCATTTCCATTCCGAAGGACGGGCATTTCTCATAACAAACCCATTTGAAGCACTGTACTTCGGAAGATTACTGTACCTTTTTCATCTGAAGAGAGGGACTCGGCTCCGCTGGAAGAAAAAAACAATACGTGAGCAGATCCATCGGTCCTTTGCTGCATCTCTGCACAGGCATTTACCCACCTCCCTGCCCGCCAGTATCGCTCCTGGATGTTGCCAGGGAAAGGGGGGCCATAAGGGAATTTAGCACTGGGGGGTTAGGGATTAAAAATTAATTTTCTTTAGCATCCCCCACGGCCCTGGCTCTCACCCTTGCCGTGCCAGGGACACTGGGCTCTGCAGCACATTTCCCACCAGCACAAGTGCTCAGTCCCAACCCCTTTTGCAAAGCGCCCGGACTTTGTGCACCAGGCACCCGTTGGTTTTTGGTAGCAATCCAACCGATCTTCTCCAGCAAGGCACGAAGTTCTGATAAACACTGTGGCTCAGAGGTGGCAGATGACTCCAATGGACCCTGTCACACATTTGCGGCCCGTGGCAAATTCAGACCAACCTTCAGTCAACCTTGCTCTTGGAAAGGGGAAATGTGCTGGTTTTATCATTTACGGCTAAAGATCAGGTCTGGAAACTTTTCCAGGGAGCTCCACAAACCTCCACAATGTCCTTCCTGCCACTCCACCGAATAACCACCACAAAAGCTGCTGCTGAGGAAGGGAATTGCCCTGGGCACAGTTACAGTAAACCAGCAGGTGACATCCAGCAAATATCCCAGCCCCTGCCCTGCCAGCGGGGAACGGCAGCCCTACGCCCTGCGGGCCGGGGGCTCCACCCCCTCCCTCTTTGGAGACAGGCGAGGGATTCCAGTGCCGCCCCAGCAATGCTGAGGGATGCTGGTGGTGGTGAAGGCAAGCCGTGGCAGATGCTCAGCTCTGGAGGCTGATTTTGACCTTCCCAGGCTACCACCGTGCATCCACAGCCCATCCGTGCCAGGCCTCCGCTCCCCCGGTGTGGGGGGGCATCACCACGGAGGTCAGAGCCTCAGCCACCACCATGCTGGGAGGGCTCAGATATAAAATTAAAAAATAAAAAATAAATACGTGGCAATGGCAGAGGCAGGGAAATAAACCCCCAAGGCTAAGGCTGAGGCATTAGGTGAAGCAATACAAGCAGGGGGGTCCTGGCGAGTAGGGGGCTGCGTGCGATGCTCCCGCACAGCCTGGAGCTGTAAGAGTTCATCGGTCAAGGGCAGGGAAAATTGTGCTGTGGTCAGCACAGGAAAAACTGGGCAAGGGTTTTGCCACAGGCATGAATGGGAAATTACACAACGGGGTTTGTGCTTCCAAACTGTATATTAAAAAAAAAAAAAAAATTACATCCTATCTGCAAGATTTGGACAAAGCCTGGATATACCCCAGGGACAGACAGCGCCTGAGCCAAATGCTGTTTGTGCAACCCTTCCACCAAGTGCTGGCTTGCTAAATAAGCTGTGCCTGCAGCCCAGCTGCATTTCCCTCCTCCTAGGCTCAAAATCACACTCGGGAGAAGCAGGGAGGGGAAAAAAAAAAAAAAAACAAAACAAACACAAAAACAACCCAGCCCTATTCAGTATAAGAAATGATTGCCCACAATTAATTACAAGAGGGAAGAAAGGCATTGCCACCTGCACCCCCAGCCCCCTCCGAAGCAAAACCGAAGTGGGGGGAAGTGTTCGTTTTACAGCTGTTTCTCTTATTCCAGC